TACCAGAGCCCACTCTGCTTTAGCTTGGTTATGGCTAGTGACTTCCACTCCAATTCCAAGTTGGTTGGAGTTGTACTCCTGGGCTATAACAATCCTGATCTCTTGGTAGTTTCTGTCCTCAATCTCCTCTGCTGTTCTTGGCTCATCTTTGCTTGTTTCTGTTGTGCTACTCTGTTTCTTAGTCATCAGTACTTTATCATATTCCTCCCAATCTTGACTTGCCTTTTGTATCACTTTGAGCTCATCCGTCCTTTTCTCCTCAAACTCTCTGTTGTTGCTCGCTTTTCAAATTTGCCAGAGGACATTAATTGTGAGTGCAAGATGGTCCTGTCCTTTTTTGCTCTTTGCTTGTGAAATCTCTGCCCACTATCTTCTGAAGCATGAGGTTTGATTCACAGCTCCGTCCCATTGTATTGGGGCTAATTTCCAAATCAGTTGAGCTTTGCTGCATTGGAGAAGAATGTGTTCCACAATTTCTATCCCTTCTTGGAACCTTCTGAATATATTCTCCTTCGCTGGCAGTGTGTTGCTAATGCATCTCCACATGAACAGCTTCAATTTGTGCTTAATGTTGAGATTCCAGAGTGTCATATCTTCCATAAGTTGCTGTTGGATTCATCCACACTGGACCCCTCTGTCTGATGTCTTTGTTGGTGTGTTGCTTCTGCTTCCTTCATCAGATTTCTGTAGCTTGACTTAACTGAATATTGGCCATCGTTATTGTGGATCCAAATCGCCTTGTCTTCCTTGCCACTCACACTGATTGGCATATACAGAGTGTCTAGATTTAACTGCAATTGGTGTTTCTCAAACAACAAAAAAGGGGGTTAAATGTACTAAATCCCCTTGAACTTTATTCTCAATTCGCTTTACCTCCTCAACTCAAAAAATCAAGAGATTAATTTTTTAGGTGATTTTCTTATCTCATGTCTGAACTTTAGAAGCAAATATTCTATAAGTTTGATGTGGTAAAGTGAAAGAAAGAAAGAAACAGGTGTGTGACTCGAGATATAACACTGAAACAAATGTTTATTGTGTTTGCCATATGACACGAGAGAGTTCTGGTGATGGGGAAGCCACATAACAAGTAAACCAAGATGCCAAAAACTGGGATAGACTTGATTTTGTAGATTTAGTGGTCTAAATTTTATTACATTTTTAATACTTGAATTGGTAAGATGGTGTGACAAAATTTTGAACCATTAGATCTACATAGACTAGATTCACCCAAGTGTTTGCCAACCAAGATATGAGTCCAACAAACAATGGTAGAAATAGGTCGATGGACCTGTTTACAGAAAAGGTAGTTAAAAAAAAAAAAAAAAAATTGCAGCTAAGGCTGCGTTTGGAGTCGATATCGCTGTAGTACGTGCCAATGTATGTGAAAACAAAGAACATAACAAGGTTGCCAAGAGCAAAACATCTAGTGAGATCCAAAACGTATCGTTCAACACTATTACATAGATAATGTATTCCTTTTAATTTTGTTAAGAAAAATTGTTGTTAGTAAAATTGGAAATCATATATTTACTCCTAAAGTTTAGCTAATTTGAAATCATGGAATCCAAAGTTAAAAGACATAAAAAAAAAATTTGGAAATGATTCACTAGTGGAGAATTTAGATGCTTTAACATAAATGAGACTGAAGGAAAGAAAACTTTAGAGAGATTTTAGGAATAAGTATCCGTTTCAAATATAGTTACTCAGGGGGAGGGAGTGTAAATAAAAGATCTCGAGTTCGAGACCACTTACAACAAAAAAAAAATTAATATATATATATGTGTGTGTGTAAAATATATATATGCATGTGTCTATATATATATATATATATATATATACACACTTAATAAATACAATTGTTATACCTAAAAATATGAAAATGAAAGAACAATGGGATCTTGTCCAAGTCAAGGTCGCATGGACCTCGTCCAATTTAATTTCTTCAATTGGTGAATAAATGAAATTAATTTGTAATTAACTAATTATACTAAAAAATATATATAAAGTTTCTTCGATCTTCTGGTTAGAGAAATTTTTTATTTGCTTAAAAATATAAATTTAAAAAAGAACACAATTTCTAAAAAAGAGAAGAGAGAGAGAGAAAAAAGAACAAAAAATAAAATAGTAAAAGGGTATTTTTATCTGTTAGAGATTAATTGAGACAAAATAAAGATTAGGAGTTAAAGTGAAAATCAAAGTATACCTTAGAGAAACGAATTATAATTAACCCTGTCAACTGAATCAAATCATTGTTGACGTTGTTTACCTTTCTCCATTTCTTTATCAATTTTCTTGTCTGATTGGAAACCTTTTGCTTCACAGGTTTTCTAGTTCTCATTACCCCATTTTTCCTTTTCCTTTTACTTTTTCCCATAACTACAAGCTCTGTATATTGACTTCACACATCACCCGTCTGCTCCGTGTCATGTCAAGACAATTTTATGAGGTACCGTCCTATGTTTTTATACCACAAATATGGTGTTCCAGTTCCATACAATAGATGAACCCTATATTTAAGTCTACCACGTATGTGGTCCATTTGTGGGGGACTAAGAACTGTTCTATCACATATGTGGTCCATTTAAGCCACAAAGAATTATGACCGCAAAATAAAGAACATAACAAAAATATGATCGATTTCCGCCCGCATTTGGACAATGGTTCACGAGTTTTGGGCAACTCAGAAACGTTTTTCACGCTAGAAAACATTTTCATCATTTTTTTTTCCAAGATATGCGGACATGATCTTGAAATTTTTGTAGGTGGTTTACCCCAATTGGGATAATTGAGATATTTTGAAAGCTTTCAGTAAAATTGTGATGAGTTATTTGCCTAAATAACTCCCTTCACAAAAAAATTCCTAAAATGATTCAATTTCATACTTTGTTCCTATAACAGCCTTTTCTGTTCTCCATCCGATCAAATTCAAATGGAAATGAGAAAAAGGGTAAAATCCTTCATTAGCCATTAATATAGTTCAAAAATCCCTTACATAACTATAATATTCTACTCTGAATCTATCTTTTCCTTTCTGATTATAATAATCTACTCTGTTTTTACTTATCATTCTACTGTCCAAAAAAATCTTGAATACTTAACATAAACCTGACGATATTTCCAAAGATGAGAGCAAAATCTAAAATTTGACTATTCATCTCCATTCTAGTTGCAATAATTTTCTCTTTGTGATGCTTTCCTTCTTATTAAGAAAAAGAAAAACTCACTACAAGTCCAGCGAAACTGGAATTATCACCAAACACGAAAGCAAAATCTAAAATTTTGATTGTTCATCTTCATTCCAATTGCGGTAATTTTCTCTTTCTGATGCTCTCTTTCCTATTAAAAATAAAAAAGAAAAAAAAAGGAAAACTCACTACAAACCTAGCAAAATTGAAATTATTAGTATGTTCGTACAGAACTCTCCATCACTTGGTCATTAAATTAACTCTTTTTGGAGTTTTAGTTTTGATTTTGTCATATTGCATTGAACGGGAACTCATCATGCATGCGGCAATATGGGGAAATAGCATTAGGGCTGAGGAAAGGAGTCTTATGCTTTTATTTTGGATGGATACCTGTGAGTTTGGAACCTCCTATGTTAATAATGGTGGTAACGAGAATTTGATTGAGCTTGAAGAATTTGATATAGAAAGCATGATGGAGGTTGCTCTTTATTAGGGAATAAGGTCAGAAGATTAGATTAGTAATAAAAATTGGAGTTGAACCATTGTAGGAATATTTTTTTGGAAAAAAAGATTATTTTGGCAAAAAAACTCAAATTGTGATACCATGGCTAATCAATTTCCGGAGAATGGTCTAAAGTTCATATGAAAATAACTAAAGAAAACCATAAGCATCCTCAAATATAATTCAAGAGGCCAAAATCAAGGACCATGCCATTGACTATATTCAAACTTCCTAAGAAATCTGGCTGGATCCCATTATTTAGTAGTATATTTAGAAAAATATGTTTTTGAATATTACACATGTGAGATATATACATCATTGAAAATGTAGGAAAATAGTTGGCAAACTGCTGTGTTTAAAGAATATTTCAGAGCAGATGAATGCAATGGCAAATCCAAATCGAGCCTGCATTATTTCATGAAATTGAGTTACAAAGTTGTTCTTGAGAGATGTATAGGAGGATGTTAAACCACTTAGGTTTAAGATTCCCCATTTTAACATAGTTATCTAATATATACAAATAAAGTAAAACGTATATGCCGACGAGGCTTCGAGTGTACTCACCACTTGAGCCATGTCACATCAGCAAAGTCCTACTTAACTTCTTCAAACTCACTCATACTACTTTTATTATCTCCACGCCCGCAATCCGCTCCTTGTTTTTTCCCAATCTTTCGGTCTTTTTCATTTCCTTTTACAAACTATTAAAACGACAAAACGGCTAAAATCCAACATCACGTTAAAAGACTTTAATTTTAGTCTACTAATAGACTACTTTTCACACTTCTGACTTATGTTGATTTTTATCCTGATACTTTTATATTTATATATTTTTATGTATTTTCAATAATTACTCCAGATTTTCTTTTTTATTCCCTTTTACTTTAGATTCTTTCTTTTTGTTTGGTTGCATGTCACCACAAATTATGTATGTGTGTGTGAATGACATATTAATATAAGTAAAGAGTATCGAATTCGAAACTTCTCACTTGTGCACGGTCTCCTGTATCACTCAACCTCCCACCCTCATAGGTGAGGTTTAAAACTTGTGGTGAGTGCATCTATTGTCATTGTCATTGATGCCTAACTAAAGATACCAAGTCAAGTAGTGATGGAATTCCGGACCTATACCCAACCCAGACATTTATTTTGAAGGTGACTCAAAAAACCCAAAAAAAAAAAGACCAAACACATGATGCATGTGCTGAAAGTACGAGAAACTTATTGAAGTCTTGCTAACATACTAAGAGACTCCGTTCACACATTCTATACAAGGGATCCCAGGAATTTAATAAGACAAACATCAAACAAAAATGGGGGACCGCGTCCAATTTGAACCATGGAGTCGCTTGGATGGCAAAATTGTTTTTGTCACAGGTGCATCTTCTGGGCTTGGCAGAGAGTTTTGCCTAGACCTCGCCAAGGCCGGTTGCAAGGTCGTGGGAGCCGCCCGGAGACTCGAGCCTCTCAAGTCTCTCTGTGACGAAATCAACCAACTATTTCCCTCTCCAAGCACGTCATCTCCGGTTGAGTTGGATCCTAATTCTACTCGAGCTGTGGCTGTTGAGCTTGATGTCACAGCTGATGCCTCCAACATTGAAATGTCAGTGAAAAGAGCTTGGAATGCATTTGGACACATTGATGCTTTGGTTAACAATGCTGGTGTAAAAGGTATGCAAGTTATGTTATATACTATTTGAATTATGGCCATGCCATGCATGACAGTCAGTAGGTAAAGGTGATGCCATCTCTGATCCAACAATAATTTCCAAAATCACTAAAAGAGGGCACACGACTATTAAGTCAAATTTCCTCTAGTTATTGGCTCTTTCTTTTTTAAAAAATTTTTCTAGCAGGAAAGAGAGGGGAGGAAAAAGGGGTTTAGAATCTAATATCTCTGTTCTTTCAAGAGTTCTACTTTTATTAAATTTTCAGTCCGGAAAGAGATCCATTCCACTTGCTGCGTCTAATGCATTGGAAAGAGATCCATTCAAATTGCCGCATCTGATGCATCTATCTGCTGTCATTAGTGTAAATTTTTAAATCAATCAAATGACGGCATTTTTATTTATTAGAAAAACAAAAAACTAGTTTCACAGAATTACAGTACGCATCTTCTTCAACCTAAGTTGAATTAGAAACAGACAGGTTTTCATTAAGTAGCTGGTTCTCGAAATCCTCATATAGACTGGTAATCTTGCTAATTTTGATGTTTCCTTGTCTGTAACAGGTTCGACAAGTTCATCTCTGGATCTTACTGAAAATGAATGGAATTCTACCGTGAGAACAAACCTGACTGGCGCTTGGCTAGTGTCCAAGTATGTTGGTAGGCACATGCGTGTGGCAGGCAGAGGTGGCTGTATTGTTAATGTTTCATCAATTGCTGGGCTGAACCGCACGCAAATGCGCGGTTCTGTTGCCTATAGTTCTTCAAAAGCCGGCATGGACTCCATCACAAGGGTATGATTAATATGATTTAATTAATTGTTTCAATGAGTTAAACATGAAAAAATGATTTTGTTGCCAAAAACTTTTGTGTTGCCAGTGAAGATTGGGACTATTTTGTTTATGACCAATGTTCCTTAACTTCCAGAAGGAAGGCTGCGTAACTTGCCAATAGGTAATTCATGAAATTGGATTAACGGTATAATAAATCGAATTTCACAATTTTTTTGACGAGTTTTTTACAACATTCTGTTTTATGTTTGATTTAAATAAAAAAGATGTGTGCATTGCTTATTTTTAGGTATACAAGGCATCACGATTGAATAGATAACACATGAGTAAATTTTGTACATATGACATATATCTAATACTGATAATGTATACACTGACAGTTTATATAAAATTAATCCTATACATACCGATATCGTATCCATTTTCTATCTCTTCATTTCTCAACCTCAAGTCACCTTTTTTTTTTCTTTCTTTATTTTTCTATTCATAACACTCGTATGTTTAATGGTGATACCGCGAAATTACAGATAATGGCCTTGGAATTGGGAGGGTACAAAATCAGGGTGAACTCAATAAGCCCTGGAATTTTCAGGTCTCAAATCACAGAAGAGCTTCTAACAAAGCGTTGGATTAATAATGTGACAGAGAGAACAGTTCCATTGAGAACCTTTGGCACATCAGACCCAGCTTTGACATCACTTGTCCGGTTCTTAATTCATGACTCGTCAAGCTATGTATCGGGCAATCATTTCATTGTGGATGCCGGATATTCTCTCCCAGGAGTTCCCATTTTCTCTTCACTTTGAATTTTTTTGTGTATATCATAATGTGGTTCTTAAAAAACTTTGATCCTAAAGTTCAAGAATTGCAAAGTAATCAAATTAGTGCTCACTGCAAGTTGAATAATTAAAAATAAAAATTTGTAGCTCATGGCTCTCTCTATACATTATAACCTTTTGTTGTCATTTAACGGTCTTTTCTTACTTCTTGGTTATTATTATTGTTTGAGAAGACATGATTTCTCTTGATGAGCAAATACTTTTTAATTGAAAGCATAATTTGGGTACTACTTACACGTGCCTATAATGATTTAACTTACGGTCTTTGTTTTGGATTTTGTCCTCTTTTCTTTCAGGGACTAAGCTTATTGTGGATACTTTCCACTTTCATCAAATTCATCTCTCAACGAGAAACCTTGGAATGATCGAACTACATTTGCTAAGAAAATTGTTTAAAACTAAGTTCAGAAAAAAAATAAAATTCTACAATATACGTTCATGTACCATAAATTCTTGACCAACCTCTTAGATGGGCTTTTTTCTTCTTTTTTTTTTTTGTGTTTTAGTGTAAATGATTTCGAACTCATGACCACTCACTTATAATTTCTCCTTCTATACCATCCAATCCATCATTTCCCCAACCTCTTATATGAAGTTAAATAGTTTTAAGTGCTGTAAACTAAATTATATCCATAATTGTTACTTTTGATTGACCTGGTCTTTACATACTTTTTAGATATAAAGGGATTTTTTTTCCCAAATTATGAATGAGTAAATTTTATTCACCAAAAAACCTTTTATATATGGTGTAACATGTACCACACGACTTTAATATACTTACTTCTTGCAGACGACCACTCAAGGTTGGACATCATAAAAATTTTGACCAACCGGTAAACAACCTGAAATAGCTTCAACCGCTATAGCTGGACCAAAGATTGTCACAATTGTTTGGGCTGGCCTTCACTTTTCTCAACCGTCATTGGGCCTTAAAGAGATTTTTTTATTCCAAAAAGTTCCAAGATTTTCTATTGACCTTATTGTCTTTGTAACCTATATCCAAAATCACATCAAATTTTCTAATAACTCAGGCATTTTGAAGCGTCAGATTTTCCCAGTGTCCAATTGTTTTTACTGATGTATATGCACTTGCTATATTAAATGCCCATTAGTTTCGTCAACCTTCTCATTAAAAGTTGTCATTACATTCGTCAACCTTTCAATTAAAAGTTGTTATTGCTTGATTTTTAATTTTTTTTTTCCTGAAGTTGGTTAATCATTAGCCCTAAAATTTACATATTCATGCTGTCATTTTCAAATTGCTATTGAAGTTTGGAAAGGAATTATCTACAACTACTAGAAAGCCTATATTTTAAATTGAAGCCTCAAATGACAAAAAAAAAATAAAAAAGAGATGATAAACAATTCGTCAAGCTTCTGCTTGAAAATTGTCATTACATGAATTTTATTTTATTTTTCCTCAAGTTGGTTAGTCATTAATTATCGACTTTACTTACTTGTGCTCTCATAGTCAGGTTATTATTGAGCTTTGGAAAGGAATCACCTACAACCACTAGAAAATCTATTTTCTAGATTGAAGCCTTGATAAAGGGGAAGAAAAAACAATCCATAAGGATTACAACCCAAAATTACAGATTGGTACATTTTACTTTACACACCAATGAAATTTTATACATGGTGTGATATGGACCACATTACTTTACTGCATATTTTCTAAGTGGAAAAAATTATCGATGCATAGGAATTGTAAATCTTTTAGCATTGCTATACTAGGAACATATTTTGTGGTATGTTAAATGTTGTCACACCATCAACTTTTACAGATATTTGAACTACCTAAAATTTTCCACCTTTGAGTTTGAATTGGATATGCTTGGGATACATACTGTGCAGCAACCTTAGGTCCTGTTTAATAACCCAATTTAACACTTAAATTTAATGGATTCATATCTTAATATATTCAGACCATTTGATAATACAAAAATTGAACATCTGAATTAATTAAGTGGCACTAAATTTCTTAGGCAAAACTTGCTCCCAAATTTAAGTGATAAGCTATTCACTTATCACTGAATGTGATATGCAATCAAATGTATTATATTTAATATTTAATAATTCAATAACTTAATGTATTCAAACTTTTGATTTTAGATTTCGAACTTTAATTTTATCAAATGCACTCTTAGTCAATGTTTCGATTAACAAATTGTCCCTTCATTAAGCTTGATTTCTTTCTAAATTCATTATCTATTATGGCGATATTAGTATATTGAGCTAATTTAACTTTCAAATCAAACCATCTTCAAGGGCGGCTAGAAAGTCTAATAGAAGAGCAATGAGATAGCGTTAATGCAATCTTTCAATAGAGTAGTCACTTATTGATTGCTGATGATGCAAAACAACTACTCTTGCAATGGAAGGGTTTGTTTGTGACTAGCAATCAAGATTTGAACATTTGACCAAATGAAGAGAAACACCAGTCTTGTATGGGGTTTCCAAACTAATGTGGTACCACGGATCCATTTGTATTATTAGCAAAATATTAAGAAGGAAGGGAGGATAAAGAAGAAAGGAAAAAGAAAAAGCAAGAAAAATAAAAGGAAAAGAAGAAAAAGGAAAAAGAAATTTTCTCCTCCAAACCTTCAAATGCATAAAATTTTTTTACAATTTTTACAGTAAATTATAACAAAATTTTATACAAGCACCCAAAAAAATTCACCATCCAAACCGGCCATAGTCTCGTATAAGTGAAGTAGGGACTTTGAGATGCCAGCGTGTCCCAATGTTGCTTTGCCAAATTAGAGATTACCATAAGCAAAAACGATTAATGTGAAATTATAGGGCAGGCTCGACCAAACTTCACCCCTCTTAGCCTACCCAATGGACTTGCTCCTGGTAAAAGACATGAAATAGCTTCCGTAGGAATAATAAATAATTATGGAGAAAGAGGAATAATAGAACCAAATTTAGCTCCATTAAGTAGGAATGAATATGAGACAGAGGTGATGGACATTAGCACGCATGCGAGAAAAGCACAATGAAAACCCAAAGTTAGAAGTGATCTATCAAAAAATTATACATACATATATATATATATATATATATATATATATATATATATATAGTGTCATACATCACTTGTTATCACTTTTTAATACACCATGGTAAATCACTACAATGACATATAGTTCTTAAGGCCCTTGGATGTAATTGACTAAAAAAAATTATAACAAATATCTAGATTTGTTATAACTGAATTTCACCCAAAAATGGAGTAAAGTGGAACCCGTGCGGTCCTGGATCCTTTCTTAGGTATTCGCATAATCCTAAATATTTGTCTTGTGTACTAACCTGTTTCAATTGTTGTTGCTATGTGTGCACGCGCCTTTTTTCCCTAATCTTTCTTAAACAAATAAAAAGTACAACAATTTCTCAGTCTACTTGGGAGAGATAGTTAATTATCTAAATGCTGTCGTTTGAATTGTTATTTTTTGGAGCTTTTGTATAAAAATATATCGTAACGATTTGATGTACGTGACATAAAAATTAATTAAAAAATATATTTATGTAAAATATAAAATTATTTTTAAAAAAATGATTTTCCAAACAAAGATGTTAGACCAAAAAAAAAATTCTTTGTTTACTTATAAGTTTTCCAATAAGAACAAGTCTTGGGTTGTTCAATTTGAAAACGCACATGCCAACAACCCTTCTCTGTCTCTTATTATTCTTGAAATGTTGACTTCAAAGGGACCCGCCTAACCTTTTCGAAATCCTAATAAACAATTCCTTAGTTATTATCAAGACCTTGGTCAAAGTCAGCTATTCAAAGCTTTAAGGCCGTTAATTCGGACCTTATTTTTGCATGAGGCGGGTACCCGACCCAGAAGGCAAATGGTTGTCCTGGATCCATCTTATCCATCCAGGGATTTTGTGATCCAATCTTGAACATTTTTGTCATTTACCATCTTGAGAGCCCCGAGCACTCAAGTAGATCCGATATCTTCGACCGGTCACAATGTATTTGTTAAATTAACCTCTTTTACACTATCAGTGTCACGATATATTATCTCAATTTAAATTTAAATACCAAATTTTATATATATGATATATATTTAAGCTCGTAAATGTAAATACTGACAGTACATAAAAGATTTATCCATATATATTTGCTAATTTTCTAACAATTAGGTTCTTAAGATCTCGCTTAACTGATAGAAATATTAATCAGATTGATCATTATACCATTATTTCCATTCTCAAATCTTCTTCTTTTTCTCTATCTTTTGTAAAGTTCAGAGTTTGGACTCTGTCACCTAATTTTGCACATCTCCCTGCTTGTGGCACACATCAACTCACATAGGCAGCAAGTATTGCAGGTTATAACCAGCGAGCATTACGGGTTACACACCACTTCTTACGCATCTCACCAAATAGATGATTTACGAATTAGACAATAGACATAAAAAGAAAAAAAAGTCACTTCATGAAAAATTTACGTCATTTTGTGCACTGCATAACATTGCCAGATAGACTAATTGGGATTCTCTGTCAATTTATCATACTGTTGATAGTATGCATTAAGTCTGATTATTTTTATAATATTTTTCATATGCTATTGTCATTATATCTATTTGTTACATGTTACATACCATTTGGATAGCAAATATATTACAAAATTTTTTAAAATATTCTTTTGACGCATTTTTAATTACTCTTTTTAAAAACATATATATCACATCACTAATTCTTGTCTAGATTGTCACATTTTAGGCAAAAATATTTTGAAGATATTCCTTTTATATATTTTTTTAATTGGTTTAATCTTTTATATACTGATAATATATACACCATCACCATTAATTGTATGAGAACTTATCTGAATTTAAATTTAAAATTCAAAATTTGCTCATATATCATGCATTCAACAGTAATAATGTATACACTGTTAGTATATATAAGAATTACTTTTTTAATTATATTTCTTATTTCACATACAACACATCACTATGGTATATTTTTCTATAAAAATTCTAAAAAATTGCAAGACCCTGTTTGAATTGCAGCTTTTGAAAATTTTTTCTTCCAAAAACTCCAATGTAAAAGCACTATTTAGATCTGCGGTGATTGGTTGTCAACTTTTAGTAAGTTGATTATCATCACATGCGAAAGTCTCACGTCCACCTTCATGGTTAAACGGTGGAGTCTGACCTTTTTGGGTATCTTATCAGTAGCCATCAAGACCTTGGTCCGTGTTAGCCTTTCAAATATGGTGACTAATTAACCAGTACATAAATTCCACTAAATTTCTCGTACTAGTGCTATTTAAACCCCATCTCCGTGTTTAGTTTTGGCTACCCTTGGTTAAGGTTTGGATTCTTTTATGATTCCGGTTCTGTTTCCTTTTTAGTTATATAGTTAAAAAATTTATGCTAAAGTGATGTGGCAATAGATTTAGAATAACAAAAAAAAAATAAAAAAATATAGAAAATAAGATTTTGATATAATTATTATCAACAAGGAAAACAAAAAGCTATTCAAATTTTATGAAAGAAAGTCACATTGTTGAATGTTCCTAAACATATTAAATAAAAGAAAAGAAGCATGATTTTTTTTATTGAAATTGAAATGAAATAAGGAAAAATGTCTCAATTACTCGATCATCTTCATTGCTTGCAACAACTATTTATGATAGAGCTATTGCTCCTTTATAATTATCCAGCAACAGCTCCAAAGTCACATGTGAGTTTTTTTTTTTCAGTGTAAGTAAAAAATCTCGAATTTAAATTTCTCACTTACACTTCCTGTACCGGCCAATCCATCCCTTTCACTCTCACGGGTAAGGTTTAAAACTTGTGGTGAGTGCATCTATTGTCATTGATGTCCAACTAAAGATACCAAGTCAAGTAGTGATTGAATTCCTTATCTTTACCCCAACCCAGACACTTATTTTTCAGGTCACTCAGAAAACGAAAAAAATCCCAAACATATGATGCATGTGCTGCAAGTACGAGAAACGCGCTGAAGTCTTGCTAGTACCAAGAAACTACGTTCACACATTCTATAAAAGGGACCCCAGGAATTGAACAAGACACGCATCAAACAACAATGGGAGACCGCGTCCAGTTTGAACCATGGAGTCACTTGGACGGCAAAATTGTTTTTGTCACAGGTGCATCTTCTGGGCTTGGCAGAGAATTTTGCCTAGACCTCGCCAAGGCCGGTTGCAAGGTCGTGGCAGCCGCCCGTAGACTCGAGCGGCTCAAGTCTCTCTGTGACGAAATCAACCAACTATTTCCCTCTCCAAGCACGTCATCTCCGGTTGAGTTGGATCCTAATTCTACTCGAGCTGTGGCGGTTGAGCTTGATGTCACAGCTGATGCCTCCACCATTGAAACGTCCGTACAAAGGGCTTGGAATGCATTTGGACATATTGACGCTTTGGTTAACAATGCTGGTGTAAGAGGTATGCAAGTTATGTTATATACTATTTGAATTATGGTTATGCCATGCACCACAGTCACTAGGTAAAGGTGATGCCATCTCTGATGCAACAGAAATTTCCAAAATCACTAAAAAAGGACACGACTATTAAGTCAAATTTATCCTGGTTATCGATTCATTTTTTTTAAAAAAAAGTTCTAGCAGGAAAGGGGTGGAATTTAATAAACAGGGAGGGAAAAGTGGTTTAGAATCTAAGACCTCTGTTCTTTCAAGAGTTTTACTTTTTTAAAATTTTCAGTCTGGAAAGAGATCCATTTCACTTGCTGTATCTGATGCATTGGAAAGAGATCCATTCAATTTGCAACATCTGATGCATGTATCTGCTGTTATTAGTGTAGATTTTTAAATCAATCAAAAAACTAGTTTAACAGAATTACAGAACGCATCTTCATCTACCTAAGTTGAATAAGAAACAGACAGGTTTTAATTTAGTAGCTGGTTCTCGAAATCCTCATATAGACCGGTAATCTTGCTAATTTTGATGCTTCCTTGTCTGTAACAGGTTCAATAAGTTCATCACTGGATCTTACTGAAAATGAATGGAATTCTACCGTGAGAACAAACCTGACTGGAGCTTGGCTAGTGTCCAAGTATGTTGGTAGGCATATGCGTGAGGCATGCAGAGGTGGCTGTATTGTTAATGTTTCATCAATTTCTGGGCTGAACCGAGCGCAAATGCGCGGTTCTGTTGCCTATAGTTCTTCAAAGGCCGGCATGGACTCCATGACAAGGGTATGATTAATATGATTTAATTAATTCCATCAATGAGTTAAGCATGAAAAACTGATTTTGTCGCCAAAAACTTTTGTCTTAACAAGACGTGCAGATTGAAGAGGTTTTGCTTCATGTATCATCATCTTTGCCATACATTCTAGGGATAATTTCAGGAACCTCCCTTGAGGTTTCTAACAATTTCACTCGACTCCCCCAGGTTTAAAAAATTACACTTACCTCCCTTGACATAGTAAAATACCTATAATGCCATCCACTTGGTAGACAAATTTAACATTAAGGCAATAAATTTACAAAATCCAAAAAATTCTATTTTTCTATCCCTTGTCTATTTTTTAATTAATATAATCTCTTTTTGTTATCTTTCAATTTTACGGGTATTAGCAAACTAAAATTTACAAAAGCAACGGAGAGAGCAGATTATGTGTCAGATTAGAAGGAAATGAAGAGACTCGCAATGATAGAGAAATAAATAATAAAATTGATGATTGAAATAGGAAGAAGAACTAAAGATATAAAATTTGTCATATTTTGTTTGTTGCCAAGAAAAACTTTTATAAAATGTCAATAATTACATAAGGATTTCTTTCATTGTATTAGATATTTTTTATTACGATTTTATTATGGAGTAAGTAGAATTTATTCTCTAATTTTGAAATATTAATATTTTTAAGGCTATAAGGGAATTGTAATGACGGCTCTAGATCAGATTAGATTGTATTAAAAAATGTATTTGAGCATTGGTATTTAATTTTAGGTACAACTAGTTATCAATGGGCTTTGTGTGTGTGTGTTTTTTTTCTTCTTTTTTTTTTTGCATGGCAAGTATTGATATTTTATATGCAATTTAGGATTTTTTGCACGGCTACTTGATTTTAGAACTTATGTTTGGATGGTTTTTAAAGATTGGACTTGTTGATTTATGCAAAGTGTAAAAGAAAATAATTGAATATACTATATTTATTTTTAGTTTTGTACAAAAGGATAATTTAGGATTTTTGTAAGAAAATCTATCTTGTTGGACCTATATTGTTACTAAACATTAAAAGTAGGGGATGTATAAGTGATTTTTAAAACCCGAAGGGAGTTCTCTGTAATTCTTAAAAACCTCAGGGGAGGTTTGTGAAATTATTCCTATATTCTAATATGTTCTTTATTTTTATTTTTTTAATGTTTGATTAAGATTTCCAAAAAAAAAATATGTGTACAATGCTTGTTTTTGGGTATATAGGGCATCAAATCACTTTTTTTTTTCCTAATCATAATGGCCTTGGAATTACAGATAATGGCCCTGGAATTGGGAGAGAACAAAATCAGGGTGAACTCAATAAGCCCTGGACTTTTCAAGTCTGAATTCACCGAAGAGCTTGTAAAAAAGCGCTGGATTAATAATGTGGCAGAGAGAACAGTCCCATTAAGAACCTTTGGCACAACAGACCCAGCTTTGACATCACTTGTTCGGTTCTTAATTCATGACTCCTCAAGCTATGTATCAGGCAACCATTTCATTGTGGATGCTGGATATACTTTACCGGGAGTTCCCATTTTCTCTTCACTTTGAATTTTAATGTATGGACTCTAGTTTGATGCTATTTAAAAGATTTTCTATAAAGAAATAATTATGAAAATCGAAGGATTACTCGGATGACATCTTTTATTAAGTAGGACTCTGGGATCAACTGTATCTTAGGAAGCTCATGAATAAGTGAGAGTGTATTAGGATGCCAAAAAAAAAAAAAAAAAGATACACAGCATATCCATATGTATTTTAAACAATTTGTGTGCTTTTTGTATCATGATCTACACAGCTTAGAGTAGAATATGATGCTATATCTGTAACCTTTTTTTTTTTCCGACAAAGCGTTAAGACAAGCAATCTATGGGGGATCCACTAAAGCACCACATCTAAGCAATTGTTGACTTGGAAGGGATTCCAATGGATCTTAAACACTCACACTCGACTCTTTACCAGACCAATGTGGGAAAAAGGGGAGGGGAAACACTCGACGACGCGGGCCTAGCTATTACCACCTCTCGTAAACTCTTGTTTCTTTCTTACAAAGCATTAAGACAAGCAATCTAAGGGAGACCCACTAAAGCACCACATATAGGCAATTGCTGATTGGAAGGGACTCCAATGGACCTTAAACACTCATAATACTCCACGAAGATGCTATATCTGTAACCTACAAGCAACAAGAACGACCTGTCTAATCTAAGATAACGTCTAGCTGTCTAATCTAAACTAACTGGTGAAGTTCTAAGTGATTTGAATAACCTGCTCCTAAGAAATTTCAAAATCAAGAGGACTGCTCCTATTATATGTGAAACACAAACAGGACATCAAATCCGCATTATATCAAGAAATAACTTGCAATTTCACGATATCCTTCAAGTTTATAGAGACATCAAGGAAAAAAAAAAGAAGATACACCTGCAGATTTTTCCAGCTTTTACAACAAGCAACAAAATATGAAGACTAAATCCAGTTATTTTCAGGTTCATTCCAAAAGTTGATTTCCTATCATCATATGTATGATTATGTCCAAGTCTGTGCCTAATTTAGTTCTTTTCAGGTTTTAATCCGAAACTTGATTTCCTATCATTGTATGATGATTCTGGTTAAACATTTGGGTAAGGCAAAGTATAATACGCTAATAAAAAGAATAGTACTACTATGCAAAGACGAATCCTACTAGAATTTAATGCAAAAAGTCAAAATATAGATTATAAACAAGATTACCTGACTTTTAGAAATTATGAAATAGAGTATGCTTTTGGACGGATTTTGGAATTTTGATAACAGCAAATGACTATACACAAAAATATCTTTCAAATTTTTTTTTATAGAAATTTGTGTTAATTGGTATTACCGTGAGTTCCCCTAAACTAAGTTTGTAAAGAAGGAGGTTTAACATCTGAGATTGACTCAAAACTAAAAGTATTGTAGTGAGAATAGTGGTTAACACATTGATAATCCGATAACATTTTTGGATTCACAGGTTAGGCACTAACACCAATACGAAAAGATTAAATGTCATACCTGTTGTGTGTGTTGCCGTATAGAGAGATTCAAAAATCTATTTGGTTGAAATATTCCCGTTTGGATTGTATTTTCCGTCATTTTTCATGGAAAAATTACTGTAGCGATTTGATGTATGTGAGGAAAAAAGGTAATAGGGAAATGTGTTCACGGAAAATGACAAAATTTTTCTACGGAAAACAGCAATCCAAGCAAGGCAATCTTGACAGGACATAAGCAATTCTAGAAAGAAGGATGTGAAGCCAATTTTTTTTTTTTTTTTGTGTATATCATAATGTGATTCTTAAAAATACTTTGATCCTAAAGTTCAAGAATTGCAAAGTGATCAAATTAGTATTCACTGCAAGTTGAATAATAAAAAATAAAAATTTGTAGCTCATGGCTCTCTCTATACCTTATAACCTTTTGTTGTCATTTAATGGTGTTTTCTTATTTCTTGGTTATTATTGTTTGAGAAGACATGATTTCTCTTGATGAGTAAATAATATTTACTTGAAACCATACTTTGGATACTACTTACATGTTTTGAATTTTGTCCTCTTTTAGTGCCAAAAAAAAAAAAATTGTCCTCTTTTCTTTCTGGGACTAAGCTTAGAAACCTTGGAATGATCCGATCCAACTACATTTGCTAATAAAATTATTTAAAACTAAAGTTGAGAAAAACTAAAATTCTACAGCATACCTTCATGTACCATAAATTCTTGACCAATTCTTAAATAAGCTTTTCATTTTTTTAAGTGTAAGTGATTTCGAGCCCAAATCTCTCACTTGCACTCCCTCTCTCAGTATCACCCAACCCATCCCCTCGCTGACCTCTTAGCTGAGCTTAAGTAGCTTCAAGTGCTATAGCTAGATTATATCCATAATTGTTACTTTTGTTTGATTTGTCCTTTACTTACTTTTTAGATATAAAGTGATTTTTCCCCCCAAATTATGAATGGGTAAATTTTATTCACTAGAAAATCTTTTATACATGGTGTAACATGGACCATAGAGCTACATACAAATTCAGCCGCTCGCAAGCAGCTCGAGTCCAAGCTAGACTCGAGTTCGGTTAACATCGAGTTCAAGCTAATCAAGTCGAACTTGAGTTCAAAAATTTCAATTCGTTAACTCGCGAGTCAACTCGATTATATATATATATATATTATTTTAATGATAAAATTACATATATATTCTTACTATTTTATTATTTGTTAAGAAAGATTATTATTTTATTTAATTTTTAAAAAAATAAAATAATTATTATTTTTTAATTTTTCTAAACTCAAGCTCAATTCAAATCTCAAGCTTTATATTTTGAATTTGTCGAGTTCGAGATTCATAAAACTAGAGGGTCGACTCAATTAAGTCAAAAACTCGATTCGGTTGCACCTCTAATGGACCACATGATTTTAATATACTTATTTCATGCATATACCCACTCAAGGTTGGACAACATAAAATATTTGACCAACCCTCAAATGATCTGAAATAGCCTCAAAAGCTATAACTGGATCATACCAAAGATTGTTATTATTGTTTGAGCGGGCTTTCCCTATTCTCAACTGTCATTGGGCCTTAAAGAAATTTTTCCTTCCAAAAACTTCCAAGATAATCTATTGACCTTATTGTCTTGAAAGCATACACCCAAAATCACATCAAATTTTGTGTGGATAAACGCCAGCTGAAGAACGCCCCCTCCATTTCTTCGAGCTGCAGCCGGGGAAGCCATTTTAGAATTTATCGATCGAATTCTCCCCTTCTTTTTTTCCTTCAAATTTTTGATGGGTTTAGTTTTTCCTTTTTAGGCCCTTTTTTACACACACACACTTTATTCGATCAGAGGCTTTACTCATATATAATTCAATAGACATTAGACCTTCTTTACCAGATGTTTTACATTAAAGCAAATGGTTTCACCGTACACCATGTATAAAACATATTATTTTCTACAGCATCATACGTCACTTGTTATCATTTTTTTAATACACCACCGTAAATCACTACAATGACATGGTTCTTTAAGGCCCTTGAGACCTCACAAGTTCCATTTTCTACAAGTTTGCCCTTGGATGTAATTGACTGATAAATAGTACAAAAAAAAATTTAGGCTTAATATAACTGCTTTTAAAAATTGGGTAACAAAATTTATAATTATCAATTCACCCCAAAATGGAGTAAAATGGAACTTGTGAGACCATGGATCCCTTCTTAAGTAATCGCATAATCTGTAAGTGAGCCAGTACATAAGCTCTACCTAAATATTTGCCTTGTGTACAAACCTGTTTAAATTGTGTTGCTATGTGCGTGCGAGCGTTGTGTTCCTTTTTACTTTATTTTTCCCCTAATCTCTCTTCAACAAATCTCTTTGGTCTATTCGGGCGAGATAGTTAACTATGTTTAATCTATTATCTATGTGTTGCTGTTTGAATTGCTATTTTCTGAAATTTTTGTACAAAAATATACTGTCACAATTTGATGTATGTGAGCTAAAAGATGATTCAAAAATGTGTTTATGAAAAACATAAAAATTTTTTGGAAAAAATGATTTTTCAAACAAGGGTGTTAGAAAAAAAAATTCTTTGTTTTCTTATAGTTTTCTAATAAATTTAAGTAGGGATAATTTCAGAAACCTCCCCTGAGATTTTTGAAAATTTCACTGAGCTCCCTTGAGATTTGAAAAATTACACATACCTACCTTGTCATTTAAAACGACCATTTAAGTATAGTAACCTTCTATTTTATTTATTTTTCCTTACATTTCCGTACAGTCTTCATGAATGACCCTAGCAGTACAGTATGGATATCGATTCCTGAATCTGAACCATTCCACATAATCATCGAGTACATTACATTACTGTACAGTCCGATTGATTTCACATTCCACTTATAAATTCTTTCTTCTTACCCGGTTCGCCCAGCCCAATTTCGTGCCGTGTGGTGTGTAATCAACCTTTTCTTCTTTCTCCCCATCAGAGGCCAAACTCATTTTCTCCACTGAAGAAGAAACGAAGTTGATTATCATCACATCACATGCGCAAAATCTGCGGAGCAAAATCCAGGTGCCAACACCTAACCACCCTTAGGTTCCACCTTCAAGATCAAATGGCGGCGTCTTACCTTTTTGGGACGAGCCCGCTGAATTCTTACCTTTTTGGGAATGTTCAGTAGCTATCAAGAACTTGGTGCGAACCCACTGAATTCTCTACTTAAGACTATTTAATCCCCCCACTCCGGCTCCTCTTTCGGCCATATGGAAATGACGAGCCAAGTCGCGAGCCGGCTGAAGCCATGGCAGGAACTGAGGGGCAAAGTGGTGATGGTAACCGGCGCGTCGTCCGGGCTTGGGAAAGAATTCTGTCTCGACTTGGCTAATGCCGGCTGCAAAATCATTGCCGCCGCTCGTAGAATCGACCGGCTTGAAACCCTCTGTGATGAGATCAACCGAATGAGTTTTAATTCGGACGAGTCTAAAACGAGTGAACTCAGGGCCGTGCCGATCAAGCTTGACGTCAGTGCCAATGGACCGGCCATTGAAGCCGATGTTCAGAAAGCTTGGGACGCGTTTGGACGCATCGATGCTCTTGTGAATAATGCCGGTGTTAGAGGTGATATTTCGTATTTCTTTTTTTTTTCCTATTTTTCCCGACAATTTGATTTTTCTTTTCTGTTTTTCATGTAGAATTGGCTTTCCAATGTTATCTCTTTTTTTTTTCTTGCTCATTTGAATTTGGATTAGTTGCTTAAAAAA